AAATATATGCAAGGACAAACCTCAGATCTCTCCCACTCTCTTCCATCTACAACAGGGCCGCACGTGCCTGGCCAAGACCAAAGACGGTGCACCAACCAAGGCCACAGTCTGGTGTGCTCTCGCCCTCAGGAACACCAATGGCACATCTGTGCATGTAGAGATATCAGACGATAGAACTTGTGAGCTTTTATCGCATCTTTAAAATAATGTTTGTTTTGTGCTGTAAAGAGTTGGAAAAGTATTTTTTGTAAGTGTTTTACGCCGCTCGCAACTGCATAAGGTCGTAAATGATCATGAATGAATGTGAATGATTGCAAATATTTGAAGGTGATTATACCTCACTGTAAATGACTGTTTCATGAATGAGCCTAAATGATAGTAAAAGCCTTTAACTTTAACTGATTAATAATGCATGTAATTGTTTGTATAATATTACACAAATGTGGGGCAAATGATAACCGTTTGTTGTAAATAATCTTGAAGGATTACACAGATATGTCAATGACTATAAAAGACTGCAACAGTGTACACATTGTTGTAAATCATTGTTAATTTTGAGTGTATGATTGCAAACGTTTGTAAATGTTTAATTAAAGCTGAATATCCCAAATGAATAGCGTTGGTAATTATAGAGGTGCATGTATGTATGCTCTGTCTCAGCTAACACACACAATGTAATTCATAGAGAATTAATACAAAAATATGTCGCAGTGTGGGAACAATAGATGGTCTATTGTGTTTTTCATCTGACATCAGATTTGGTCATCTACATGAACGAACAGGATTACTCCGCGAGATTCAGAGATAATGAAAATTTCAACGCAAGAGATGGCTCCATGTTTATACAGAAAATCAACGGCTCTCTCAGCGTCTCCACGCCTGACCGTAAGTATTGTCTGAGTGTCTATTTCTCCGACTGTACTTCTGCAAGTTTAGTCGTCAACTTAGAATATCCCTGAATATCTCTAAGTCTCCCTCCCTCCCTTCCTCCACCACCCTCTCTCTCTCTCTCTCTCTCTCTCTCGTGCGCGCGCTCTCTCTCTTTCTCTCTCTCTCATCAATATTTGCTTGTTCTTTTCCCCTAATTCTCCTCCTCCTCCTCCTCCTCCTCCTCCTCTCTCTTCCTCCTCGTCATCCTCCTCTTCAGTGACTAGTGGGTGATGTGAAGACGTTTGCTCCCCCCGGTACCCATGACCGTAATCTGCTTTGTGGTGAATTCACAGTAAAGTACAACTCAACAACATCCCTATCTCCGTCGCCCTATTCACCTATTCTCAACCTTTTCGCCACAGTCCTATCACGCACCTATAACTTTAACGTCGTCTGTCTCAATCAATCCATCCCCTTTAAACAGTCTTCAATTTCTCTTCTCCACCCCCCATCCCTTCCCCCTTTCCATCTGCAGACGTCGGAGTGACCATAACACTGACCACTGGACTTTTAGATATTTCTCCTGTGGTGGACGAGCAGTACAAGAACATGACCTCTGGGTTGCTAGGCAACTTCAACGACAAAACAGATGATGAATATATAATGCCTAACGGCACACAACTTCCAGCGGGTATTACAGAGCGAGAGGTCTTCAGCTACGGACAGACATGTAAGTACCATATGGAAATAAGATAAACTCGAAATAAGATAAGATTAATACTATTGGATGAGAAAATGTATCTATCTATATCTATCTATCTATCTATATTGGATGAAAAAATGTCTATATCTATCTATCTATCTATCTATCTATCTATCTATCTATCCATCTATCTATCTATCTATCTATCTATCTATCTATCTATCTATCTATCTATCTGTACACACACACACAAACACACACACACACACACACACACACGCACACACACACACCCATACACACACGCAAGATCTCTCACACTTCTATACACACACACACACAAAAGCACCCAGGTGGAACGCAAAAACACATTTGATCACCTCATGTTTCAGGGGCTGTGACTGACGCCAACAGCGTTTTCCGCCGAAAACAAGGCCAGACGGCCGCCACTTTCTTCAACAGCACCTTCGAACCAATCTACTTGGATGAAGCCAGTGACAGCGCACGCACAGAAGCAGAGACAGTCTGCGGCGGAGTTGCGAATCTGCCTTGTATCTTTGATTACATTGCCACGAACGACACGCAGGTGGCACTTGGAACTTTGGAGGCTGTCGTTGCGTACACCACAGACGAGGCCAAGCTAGGTAAGAGAGTGAGGGTCGAGGCGTCAAATCTGAACGCTCGTTCGTTCTGCGCCAGTCAAATGTTGCGGGTTTGATTTACTGTGTCTAGATCTATTTGTTTTTGGTTTGCTTTTTTTTCTTTTGTTTTGTTTATGTCTTAGCATGAATATTACATCCTGGCAGGATTATTTGGCACACGATTTAGCTTTTTAATTTCTAAGCACGTCTAGAACGGAAAGACACAAAAAACAGGAAAGCTTGGAAAGGGTTTTAGTTTCGTTTATAGATGTGTCCATATGGTTAATGATGACAGGGCTGTATAGGCATTCCATTGTAAATAGATCGTTTTTTTTTGGGGGGGGGATTGCACTTTTGTGTAGTAAGCTGCTTCTCTTTCTTTCCAGTGCGTGTTGATTTCATTGGAATCTCCTCTAGGCTACCCCCAGTGGGTCGGGGGGATATAAATAGACCCACTGCTTCGTCTGCAGAAGGTGCAACCCCTTCAAAGGCGAGGTGTCGCC